ATATATATATATATATATATATAGTCTGTGTGTAGCATATAATATACTATATTTCTATACATATTCAATATATTTGTAGAAGGAAGGCGGATAATGATGCCTAATTGTAAATAATTAAACCTACAAACATAATTAGTTCGTGTCTGTACGCTCACGCACGCACATACACTCGCATGCAGCACGTGTGTACGCACGCATACGCACGCACGCACACACACATACGCACGCGCGCGCAAAACACATCTTGCCCGATAAGCATTGACCAAGTCCTTCTCGCTCGCTTCTGTTAATCGCACCTGCGGACATTTTCGTAATAACGACATTTTTCTTCGTTTTTTGTTTAAGCAGTGGCCGTCTCCTTAATTACGCGAAATCAAGGTAGCGGGTGATACCGCGGGCACAGCTCTGCGACCTACCGTGTCATAGAGGTCATAGACTCGAGGATACGCGACAAGCAAGGCGTATGATCTTATTTAGGTTATAGACTCGAGGATACGCGACAAGCAAGGCGTATGATCTTATTAGAGCGAAGCTGAAATAGTAGCGCGCTCAACTCTCGTCTAGTTTTTCTCGGGAAATATAACTCTGCTGTCGGTGAAACAGAGGTTGCTTGTTATATACGGAGGTTGTCTAAGCAGGGAGATAACGCAGAATTGATGCAAGGGCTAGGTAATGTAGATGTACACGCTGTGTAAGCACGAGGACATGTAGATGTATACACTGTGTAAGCACTAGGTAATGTAGATGTACACACTGTGTAAGCACTAGGCAATGTAAATGTACACACTGTGTAAGGACTAGGTAATGTAAATGTACACACTGTGTAAACACTAGGTAATGTAGATGTACACGCTGTGTAAGCACTAGGTAATGTAGATGTACACACTGTGTAAGCACTAGGTAATGTAGATGTACACACTGTGTAAGCACTATGTAATGTAGATGTACACACTGTGTAAACACTAGGTAATGTAGATGTACACACTGTGTAAGCACTAGGTAATGTAGATGTACACACTGTGTAAGGACTAGGTAATGTAAATGTACACACTGTGTAAAGTCTGTAAACACTAGGTAATGTAGATGTACACACTGTGTAGGGACTAGGTAATGTAGTTGTACACACTGTGTAAGCACTAGGTAATGTAGATGTACACACTGTGTAAGCACTAGGTAATGTAGATGTACACACTGTGTAAGCACTAGGTAATGTAAATGCATGTACACACTGTGTAAGCACTAGGTAATGTAGTTGTACACACAGATGCACGGGCTATCTATACATTTATGAGCAAACCTGAGTGGCTGCCGACGATTGACATTTTCCAAGCTGATCGAAGCTTGCCGATAATTCCAGCATTATTGATCTTACACGGGAAAAAAACAGCGCGCGGGTTTAGGTACTAGTATAGATTGCGCGCGATTCTCTCTCTACGGCCCCTAACTAACAGCTGCGTGACGTCATTACGGATAGACGTTCATAAATACGAAGCTTGTAATAATCGAGTAAATTTTACCGCGCATCAGTTGATATACACCGACGCTGTCTGCAAACGATGTTATTAAATTTTGCCATCAATTATATATATATATATATATCAGGAGTAGATAATAGGGAATATAGGAGATATATATATATATATAGGGGATATAGGGGGGGGGGATTCCCTATTATCTATTCCTGATATATATGTATATATCGTTAGGGAATGCCACGGTGTCTAGTTTCCGTTTCGATTTTCGACGACGGTTGCAAACATTTTTCGATTGGGCGGAAATGCGCTGATATATAATTATTAACCTAATTCCAGAATCTGATTAATATTAATCAGTATTCACATATAATATATGCTTCGCTTTTTTTGAAATTTTCTTTAGAAAAATGAGTTTTTTATTGCTTGCAATATTTAAGCGGATTGAGGTTTTAAGATGTGCCATACCGCCACGCACCAAGCCGCAGCTGTAAACAGCGTGGTAAAAAAACAATATGTTGCTGTCGCCGCGTCACGCCGTCAAAGAAGACATGGGAAAAACTTCCCGTTTTTCACCCGGTTTGCAGCTGCGACGTGAACGTGTCGGCGATGCGTTGTGTTGTCGGCGATGCGCTGTGTTGTCGGCGATGCGCTGTGTTGTCGGCGATGCGTTGTGTTGTCGGCGATGCGTTGTGTTGTCGGCGATGCGTTGTGTTGTCGGCGATGCGTTGTGTTGCGCGCTACGTAATAATAGACGCACGCAAACACGCACGCACGCAAACAAGCACGCACGCACGCACGCACGCACGCACACACGCACACGCACGTTCGCACGCACAATAACATTGCGAGATATTATATATATATATATATCTCGGGAATCGTAATGCCAGGTGCTCGTATTGACAGGTGATCACGTACCACCTAATCATGAGCGCTGTGAATCGTCTCTATGTCGTAGCAGTACAGCGTCGTATATATATATATATATATATATACAGTGTTACACTGTCTCCCACCGAGCAGGGAGGTATAGAGATGGGCGTGGTGTGCCGTATGAGCATCGACTCGGTGTGAGCTCATACGTGCGCTCATGCATGCATGCGTGCGTGCGCGCGCTCCCCCTTCACGTAGCTACGTTATTGACATACCTGCATGGTATTGAGCTAGCCTCTCCCCCAGCGTACACGCGCATTACCTGCCGTGTGCGCGGCTACACCAGCGCACTAATTAGGGAAAGAGGAGCGAGGAGAGTAGGAGAGGGGTAGTTTCCTCGTCTCGTTTGCTCTATTCTAGTCAGCAGCGATGCGACCGTGATGCTGATTTACCTGACATCTAAATTACGGCTCTTATATTAAACTCGCGACACATCGGAAATACACCAGGCCGTGAAATTCCTTTTAAAAATCATTGAAAATGTTCTTACATGTCTTTTTAAATAGCGAAATGTAAAAATGCCCGCTCATGCTGCGGCGCTATTCAGCTAATAAAAGGTAAGAATAGCTTGCGCCGGTGGTGTCACCTAGGGGGCAAGATAGGTAGTTAACGATAATGATGTGAGAATTAACGAGGTACTCTCAGGCAATAGACACCCACTCCGCCGAAACAATGCAAGTACATGCTCGAATGCGCGTCCGCCTTGTGAGCTAATGCGCAAAAGCTACCTATTACGAAAGCTTTCTAGTAAGTGTTTCCACTTGGCGGACCGCGTAAAGGAACCTGCAATCTATATAACATTGATCGTTCTAGCCGATATATAGTTTTACAGAAGAATTTCTTGAAAAACAACTTCGCTGGAATAAACTGACGTATACACTTTGATACACGTCAAAAGTGTGACGGTTGTATACGTATGGACTATACAGACATATGCTCACAGACGCACGCGCACGCACGCATGCTCATACATACATATGTGTGTAGCTCTCTCCCTCGCTTTATCAGCCCCATCTCCTCAATCTCTATTTTCAAGCATCACTCACTACATCATAATGCGCGCCACCTACCGGGAAGGTTCACTCGCTTCGGCAGGATTGTGATGGCGCCCTCTGCCTCCAGCTCCCGCCCTTCGACCGGATGTATCTTGGCGCCCCAGCTATCGCTGCCTATCCAGTTGAACGTGTACGTCTTGTTGCGTGCGCGGACGTGAGTGAGCAACTTCCGGCAATTGTCCTCGTCGGCGAACAGTATCACTCCGCGCGCGTTGGGTTTTGATTCGAGACCCTTGATGACGCGGTCGAAGTCCTCCGGACGTGCGTTGCGCTGTATCTTCTCTGATGTCGCAATGCAAAGACCTGCGTGTGTGAGACAGAAGAGAAACTATGTCTGTGAAATGGAGAGGACACAGAGATGCATCTGTGTGTGTCTCTCTTACCCGCGCTCGCGCTCTCTCTTTCTCATTCTCTCTCTCTCTAATTCTCTTTCATCCCTCTTTTTTTCTCTCTCTCTACACACACACACACACACACACACACACACACACACACACACACACACACACACACACACACACACACACACACACACACACACACACACACACACACTACTACTACTCCGTACGACTACGTACGGTTACTTCTTCTTCTAGTACGTTCGTACCGTACCTACCCTCCTCCGTCGTCCGTCGTCCGTCCGTCCTCCGTCCGTACTACTTAAC